AAAGGGGAAAAAATGGGGGGAAAATGGCGGGAAAATGATGGGAAAATGGCAGAAAAAGGGGAAAAAATGGTGGGAAAAGTGAAAAAAATGGCGGAAAACGGTGGGAAAATGGCGGAAAAAGGGGAAAAATGGCCGGAAAATGGGGGAAATGGCGGAAAATGGCGGGAAAAAATGGCGGAAAAAGGTGAGAAAATGGTGGAAAATGGTGGGAAAATGGTGGAAAACGGGGGAGAAATGGTGGGAAAAGGTGGGAAAATGGGGAAAAAATGGCGGGAAAAGGTGGGAAAATGGCGGGAAATGGGGAAAAAATGGCGGAAAAATGTGGGGAAATGGCGGGAAATGGTGGGAAAATGGCGGGAAATGGTGGGAAAATGGTGGAAAAGTGATGGGAAAATATGGTGGAAAGTGGCGGAAAAAATGGCGGAAAATGGTGAGAAATGGCAGGAAAATGGCGGGAAATGGGGAAAAAATGGCGGGAAAAGGTGGGAAAATGGCAGATTAAGGAGTTTGGGAATTGATGCAAATTCAGCTGAAAATTGCCCCAAAATTGCATCAAAATTGTCCCAAAATTGGCAAAAATTGCACAAAAAATTGGCTGAAATTGGCTCAAATTGGGATGAAAAATTGCCCCAAAAATTGCCCAAAATTTCCCCAAAATTGGCTCAAATTGCACCCAAAAATTGCTCAAATTTGACTCAAATTTCCCCAAAATTGTCCCAAAACTGCCCCAAAACCGTCCTAAAATTGGCTGAAATTGCCATGAAAAAATTTCCCAAGAATTCCTGAAAAATCCCCCAAAAATTCCCAAAAAATTCCCCCAAAAATCCCCAAAATGAGAGCCAACAAGGTCCTGGAAGGTCACAGGAAAACGGAAAAAATGCCAAAAAAAGCCCCAAAATTCCTGAAAAAATTCCCAAAATTTTTTTAAAAATTCCCCAAAAATTTTCTGGGGGGAATTTTGGGGTAAATTTGGGAATGTTGGAGGAATTTGGGCAAATTTGGGGATTTTGGAGGAAATTTGGGGAAAATTGGGGGGATTTTTGGGGACATTTCGGGGGAAATTTGGAGGAATTTTGGGGGAAAATTGGGGGAATTTTGGAGGAATTTGAGTGTAATTGGGGGAATTTTGGGAGAATTTGGGGGAAATTTTGGGAGAAGTTTGTGGGAATTTGGGAATTTTATGGAATTTTGGGGAGAATTTGGGGGAATTTTGGGGGGGAAATTTGTGGAGAATTTGGGGGAATTTTGGGAGAATTTGGGGGAAATTTTGGGAGAAGTTTGTGGGAATTTGGGAATTTTATGGAATTTTGGGGAGAACTGGGGGGAATTTTGGAGGAATTTGAGTGTAATTGGGGGAATTTTGGGAGAATTTGGGGATTTTGGAGGAATTTTGGAGAGAATTTGGGGGAATTTTATGGAATTTTGGGGAGAACTGGGGGGAATTTTGGAGGAATTTGGGAGAATTTAGGGGAAATTTGGGGGAATTTCAGGGGAAATTTGAGCCGATTTTTGGCCAATTTTTCGTTGCAATTTCAGCCAAATTTGGGCCAATTTTGAGTCAATTTTTGCCCAATTTTCGGCCAATTTTTCTCCAAATTTCCGTGCAATTTCTCCCCAAATTTGCCCATTTCCCCCCAAATTTGCCCATCCCCCCCGAGCTCACCGTAGAGCTGCTGGATGCCGCGCCGGTCGTCGTCGGGCAGCTCGAAGGCCTCGGTGTCCATCCATTGGTAGAAGGGCGCCATGATGGCCGAGGGGTCGCTGGAATGTTCCAGGCCCAGGGCGTGGCCCAGCTCGTGCACGGCCACCAGGAACAGGTCGTTACCTGCCGGGACAGGTCCTGGAAGGTCAGCGGGGCAAGGGCTGGGCTGGGGAGGTCATGGTTGGTCAATGGAGACCCTTCATGGTCATGGAAAGTCAATGGAGACCATTCATGGCCAAGGTTGGGTCAATGGAGACCCTTCATGGTCATGGAAAGTCAATGGAGACCATTCATGGCCAAGGTTGGGTCAATGGAGACCCTTCATGGCCATGGAAGGTCAATGGAGACCCTTCATGGCCATGGAAGGTCAATGGAGACCCTTCATGACCAAGGTTGGGTCAATGGAGACCCTTCATGGCCATGGAAGGTCATGGAAAGTCATGAAAGGTCAATGGAGACCCTTCAAGGTCATGGAAGGTCAATGGAGACCCTTCATGGCCATGGAAGGTCAATGGAGACCCTTCATGGCCATGGAAGGTCATGGAAAGTCATGAAAGGTCAATGGAGACCCTTCAAGTCAAGGTTGGGTCAATGGAGACCCTTCATGGTCATGGAAGGTCATGGAAAGTCATGGAAGGTCAATGGAGACCCTTCATG